TTGTGCCCGTGCGTGTGTATGCAGATGCCTGTCCATGTGTGAGTGACTGTGTATGTTCACCTGTCTGCACACTCACCTGTGTGTAAGCCTATCCCTCGTGTGCGCACAGGCTGTGTATCTGAGCCTCCCAGTGTGAGCACAGGGGTGTGTGCTTACGTGTGCCCACGTACTTGAGAATAGTCGAGGTGTGTGTGCAAGTTTATCCCTGCGTGTATGTCCGTGTGCATCTGCCTGGGATGGCAACAGAAGAATGCGGCTGGCGGGAAGGCCACCTGGGTCCCTGGAGCCCCTTCCTGGCCTCTGTGGTCCACTCCCCTACCTCTGCCCCCCAGTCTCTGATTGTCACACCTCTGCTAATCCTTGCCAGGTGGCTGGCCTCCTGCCCCTGCTTCAGGATGCGTCGCATAGGCCCCTCACCATGCTGTGGCCCACAGACTCCGCCCTGCAAGCCCTGCCACCTGACCGCCAGACCTGGCTGTACCACGAAGACCACCGTGACAAGCTGGCAGCCATCCTTCGGGGCCACGTGATTCGCAACATTGAGGTGGGTCTCCCCCCAGTCCTTGGTCCCCACTACCTGCCACCCAGCCTGCCCGCCCAGCTCCAACCGTAGCTCCATCTGCTCAGGCCTTGGCATCTGACCTGCCCAACCTGGGCCCTCTCCGCACAATGCATGGGACCCCCATCTCCTTCTCCTGCAGCCGTGCCCGGCCGGTGAGTCTGGGAAGCAGGGGGCAGGGGCTCTGGAAGTGGGGGGCTGCGACGCACCAGTGACCCCATGTACTCTCCTTCCTCCGCCCGCAGGGTGAGCTCACAGTGGGTGAGGAGGACGCCCGCATCGTGCAGCGGCACCTGCCCTTTGAGGGTGGCCTGGCCTATGGCATCGACCAGCTGCTGGAGCCACCTGGTCTTGGTGCCCGCTGTGACCATTTTGAGACTCGGCCGCTGCGGCTGGTGAGGGAGGCCATAGGTCAGAGGTGGACAGGCCGGGACCCTAGCCGACCTGTCCTGTCGATCCATCTGATCTTACTGTGTTGGCTTCTGTTCCTTTCAGAAGATCTGCAGCATTTGCGGGCTGGAACCGCCTTGTCCTGAGGGCTCACAGGAGCAGGTGAGGCCCTGGGAGCTGGGTAGGGGTTCAGGCAGGGACCAGGGACCAGGGACCAGGGACCAGGGACCACGAAGCTTAGGCTGTTTGATTCCTCTTGGCCCAGGGCAGCCCCGAGGCCTGCTGGCGATACTACTCAAAGTTCTGGACATCCCCTCCACTGCAGTCCTTGGCCCTGCGCAGCATTTGGGCCCGGTCCAGCCTCTGGGGCCAGCCCCAAGGCCTGGGCAGGGGCTGCCACCGCAACTGCGCCACCACCACCTGGAAACCCAGCTGCTGCCCGGGTCACTACGGCAGTGAGTGCCGAGGTGAGCGTCCTGAGGCTGCTGCGCCACTGCTCCTGAGGAAAGGTGTCGGGGCGGTGGGGCGGGGGCAGGTGTGGGTGCTGAGGGCGTTTTACCGGGACAGAGCACTGGGGGGGGGCGGGCGTCTGGAGGATTCTCAGCAGCAAGGGGACTTGGGGGGCAGGGAGGTGCGCCTTCTGGAAGAGGCTTGGCTGCCCCAGGTGTGGGACGGACAGCGTGGCCGGGCTGGGGCTGCGTGTGGTAGGGGTCCTGAGGAGAGCCCCGCTCCCTTGCCCTCCCCCCTCCTCCCGCTAGCTTGCCCTGGCGGTGCCGGCAGCCCCTGCAGTGGCCACGGTGTGTGCGTGGACGGCATGAGTGGCAGCGGGCAGTGTCAGTGCCACGCGAGGTTTACGGGGACGGCATGTGAACTCTGTGCCCCGGGGGCCTTTGGACCCCAGTGCCAAGGTGGGCTGTCCTGTCCTCTCCGCCCCGTCCCCCCGCCCTCT